TCCTGCGCCCTACAGAGGCAGCGGACCACCTGGATGTGCACTGTGGAGGTGCTTGAGCCACAATGAAGAGCTGGTCGGACCATTCTATCCCGAGAAGAAGCCCCTAAACCCTAAACCCTAAACCCTAAACCCTAAACCCTAAACCCTCAATCCTAAACCCTAAACCCTAAACCCTAAACCCTAAACCCTAAACCCTAAACCCTAAACCCTAAACCCATAGTGCAAGAAGTTCTTTCCGCCGATGCATCATTCTATTCATCCTTCCTGTTCACTGAGACTCGCGCCAGCTCTCAACCCGACTCCAACTCCAACTCCCTAAGCCTGAGCCCCAAACCCTAAACCCTATGTAAACACTAAACCCTAAACCCTAAACTCTAAACCCTAAACCCTAAACCCTCAACCCTAAACCCTAAACCCCCAAGCCCTAAACCCTAAACCCCCAAGCCCTAAACCCTAAACCCCCAAGCCCTAAACCCTAAACCCTAAACCCAAAACCCTAAACCCTAACCCCCCCAAACCATAAGTCCCCTGAACCAAGGATCTTCCACCTGGAGAACCGAGAGTGCAGTGCGATCCGAGGGCAACTCACGCAGCTCGAGGCATCGGCAGCAGCTAAACCCTAAACCTTAAACCCCAAACCTTAAACCCTAAGCCCTAAGCCCTAAGCCCTAAGCCCTAAACCCTATATAAACCCTAAACCCTAAACCTTAAGTTAAGGCCCTGAACCCCACGACTCAAGTCCGAAACCCCAAGCCCTGCACCTTGCCAGACATTCTGAACTCAAGTTTAGGTTTGAAGGCTTCGGCCCTGTCTTTCATGCTTCAAGGGGTTTTCGGGTTTAGGGTTTAGGGTTTAGGGTTTAGGGTTTGGGGTTTTCGGGTTTAGGATTTTCGGTTTGGGGGCTCGGGAATCAGGATTAGGGTCTTAGGGGCTTTCCTGAGCCCGACGCCGCAAGCTCTGAACCCTTACTTGAAGGTTCCTGGTACTTACTAACCAATTATAGCTGGGCTTATAACCCTACTTATAATTGGGATAACCCCTATAAGGCCCTTCAGGGGTATCATAAGTAGGGTTATGAGTACAGTTATAATTGGTTCGTAAGTACCATGAACCTTCAAGTAGGGGCTTCGGGGGCCGACGGGTGATATTTGTGAGGACCACGATGCCAGCGGGCGTGTCACGCTGGCAGACTTCTACAACACCACGCTGCACAACTTCTTCTCCAGTGCCGGGAAGCAGCAGAGGTTTGAGGCTTTAGGGCCCAAACCCGCAAAGTGCGTTTTAGGGTTGAGGGTTTAGGGTTCGGGGTTTTAAACCTTGAAACCTAGACCCCCAACCCTAAACCTCCATTCCTAGCCGTATCATGCCGTATCGACATCAGATCCAATCCCCAAGGCCTGGAAGCCCTTTCAGCTCATGTCAAAGCACACCTTGGGCCCCGCCACCCATCAAAAGCCCATCTTACAACCCTAAACCCGAAACCCAAGCCCTATACCCTAAACCCTAAACGCTTAATCCCAACCCTAAACCCTAAACCCCAAACCCCAAACCCTACCGGGTGTAGGATTATGGCTCAGGCTTCAGGACTTAAAACCACCAAAAAAACACTCGCCAGCGAGCCAGTCCGGTCTCAGGTGCATTCACTGAGAGCGAGCATTACCTCCGAGATGCCGGGGCGTTGGATGAGACCGTGCCAGGCAGGGGGTTGGGGTGTTGGGGTTCGGGAGATCCCAGATTTTGGGATTTGGGGCTCCCAGGAACTTTAACCCTACAACCCTGTAACCCTATAACCCTATAACCCTATAACCCCTATAACCCTGTAACCCTGTAACCCTATAACCTTATATCCCTATAACCCTCTGACCCTATAACCCCCTGTGACCCTAGAGAACCCCATGACCCAATCAGACCCTATGAGCCCCCCCAAGACTCAGGGCTTAAGGCCTTGGAGTGTCGCGTCGTTGGCCTGGCGCAGGCGTGCCTCGCGTCATCATCCCCAACTATCTCATGTTGGACTCCAACTGCCTCGGCTCCTCCGAGTAGCTTCGGCAAAAGGGAGAGGATCTAGGACTTCGGGGGTTGAGGAAAGGGGGATAAGGTTGGGGAGTTAGGGATTTTTGGGGTTGAGGTTTCGAGTTTTGGGGCGTTGGGGCCTTCAGGGTTTCAGGGGTTTAGGTTTAGGGAGCTTAGGGTTTCAGGGTTTAGGAACCCCGGTTGTGCCTTCAGTCCCTTACCGTAAGCCCCTTACATCAACAATCAAAGGCGTTCTTCTGTTTTTTTTCTTGGCCTGGGGGGGCCCCCTCCTAGTTACTAGGACCCAGAGTAGGCCCTCATACCCTTTTTGTAGGGATTAGGGTCCCTTCGAAGCCCCTTTAACCCAAAAAGGGTGCCCTCTTCATTCCTAGGTTACTCTTGGGGCTAGGTTTGAAGTAGAGTTATAAGTATCCTCAACTGGCTATCAGTTTCCAACCCTAAACCCTAAACCCTAAACCCTAAACCCTAAACCCTAAACCCTAAACCCTAAACCCTAAACCCTAAACCCTAAACCCTAAACCCTAAACCCTAAACCCTAAACCCTAAACCCTAAACCCTAAACCAAGTCCCGTAAAAGTAGGTTAGGGTGGGCCCCTTCTTCAAGTCGATGCTCGCTTAGTCAGGAAGGGTCTGCCTAAGTGCCCGAAGCCCTAGACCCTAAGCCCCAACCCAAAGAGCGCCAGAGCCCTGAAATTGAGGAATAGACCATAGGTTATATATTATATAGGGGCCGTTAGTATATGATATTTAAGGTCTCTTCCTTGATTAAGGGGTATGGGGCTCTTTGCAAAACCCCAGAACCTAAACCTTTTACTCCTAAATCCCGGATTCCGCCAAGGTACTATGCCGTTTGCTGCATTGACGAGTGCGAGGTGCTACCCTGAACCTCGAACCGTACAACCAGCCCCTTAGGGTTTAGGGTTTAGGGTTTAGGGTTTAGGGTTTAGGGTTTCTCTCCGCCAAAGCCTCCACTCCCCCGAAATCCTTAAACTTTCCAACCCTTAATTAACGCCTTTGCAGGTGCTCCTTGACAACATCGAGACGAAGATCCTTGGAAGTCGAAAAGGCAACCTTCAACTTGCTTTGGGTAAGTCACCCCAAAACCCAAAACCATCCAAAACCCTAGATCTAAACCCAAAACCACCCAAAACAACCCCAAGACAAGCAAGGATCCATGCCCCCACCGCCTCGCCGGCGCAGCTCTCCCGGTTGGTGTCCTCCCTCGGCGCTCAGTTCGCCTTGGATGCGAGGCGGCTGGCCTGGGGTTTAGGGTGTAGGATTTAGGGTTTAGGGTTTAGGGTTAGGGGTCCCCCCGCCCGAAGATGTGGAGCATTTGGGGGGGAAGTTGAGGGCGGTTGGTAGGGGTGAGGTTTGAGGGCTTGAGAGTTTAGGGTTTAGGGTTTGAGCGTTTAGGGCTTAAGATGCTTAAGGTTACAAGCCCTGAGCCAGGTAGGGGTCAGGATTTAGGGTTTAAGAGATGATTAAGGTTACAAGCCCTGTACCTTAAACCCTAAACCCTAAACCCTAAACCCTAAACCCTAAACCCTAAACCCTAAACCCTAAACCCTAAACCCTAAACCCTAAACCCTAAACCCTAAACCCTAAACCCTAAACCCTAAACCCTAAACCCTAAACCCTAAACCCTAAACCCTAAACCCTAAACCCTAAACCCTAAACCCTAAACCCTAAACCCTAAACCCTAAACCCTAAACCCTAAACCCTAAACCCTAAACCCTAAACCCTAAACCCTACCCTTTCAGGTCTTGGTCGGAGCTTGAAGCCCGTCTCTTCGACATCGCCGACGGCGAAGGACAGGTCCCTCTACATGGACGCCTCTTCGCCCAGTGGCTCCTCGGGTTTCGAATGTGGGCTCTAACTGAGTGTAGGCTTGGTTTAGGGATTAGGGATTAGGGTTTAGGGTTTAGGGTTTAGGGTTTAGGCTTTAGGGTTTAGGGTTTAGGGTTCAGGGTTTAGGGCTTAGGGTTTAGGCTTTAGGGTTTAGGGTTTAAGGTACAGGGTACAGGGTTCAGGGTTTAGGGTCAAGCGTTTAATACTAGAATGCCCTTTGTGGGTTTCCCAGACCCCCAAAACCCCAAACCCATTTGGCCACCTTGGCGGTTTGTGGTTGGGAGATGGATCGAACTACCTCGCCATCAGTTAGCCAGAAGTCCTTCCAGGAATTTGAAATTCAGCTCGTAGTAGGAGTCCAACCTCATATGGGGTTGCTTGGATATGTGGGGCGTTGTTGGGGTTCGTATGAAACTACTACTATTTGCGTAAGAAGCCTCCCAAAACAAATGACATTGAAGAATATTCTTTCCATGTATATGTATATCTAGCTATATATGAATACGCGTTTTTTTTTTTTTTTTGGGGGGGGGGGGTTCTTAAGCAAATAGTAGGAAAGTACCTCCCTTGCAGTTTAGGTTGCTAAAGAAAGCGTCTCCGCAATCCTGATCATCCCGATCACCCGGGAGCGGGATTATCACAGACAGCAGGAATCCCGAATATTAACTCCTCCCCCCCCACCCCCTAATATTAAATGCACCCAGATTATAGTTGTATTGTAGTATAGGGGGTGTATTTCATATTAGGGAGGGTTTAGGGTTTAGGGTTTAGGGTTTAGGGTTTAGGGTTTAGGGTTTAGGGTTTAGGGTTTAGGGTTTAGGGTTTAGGGTTTGGGGGGGGAGGGGGGGCTAATCTGAATGGGATGACGCACTACTCATGGTGCTGAAGTCCTGCAAGGAGAGAAATCAGCAAGCTCCACCCTAAACTTGGGATGTTCCCCCCTACTTATACGAACAGTCCTGAATCGGGAGTCGAGTACACCCTAGTATAATCCTTTGTTAGGGGCTGTTAGCATTAGGGGGGAGCACCCCAACCCTAAACCCCAAACCCCACATCCCAAACGCCAAGTCCTAGACGAAACCCTGAACCCTCAGAACCCTAAATCTTGGACTCGTAAGGCTTCATCACGCCTTCCCTCGCGTCTGTCCATTCCCACATGAGGCTGGGGTTGTGGGGGGGGGGGGGGGGGGGGCCCAGAGACTCCAAAACCCCTTAATTTAAGGAATATCCCTTAAACCATAATAGGAACCCTAATATGAAATTAAGGAATATCCCTTACATCATAATAGGAACCCTCATATGATTTAAGTTTTCTTCCTGAATTAAGGGGTTTTGGAGTCTCCGCGGGGGGGGGGGGGGGGGGGGTGGGTCGGGGAGCCAGCACCTCGGGGTCGCAGAGACTGCAAGGTGCTTTAGGGCTTCGGGTTTTCGAGTTTGGAAATGACCGTAAACCCTAAACCCTAAACCCCAAACCCTAAACCCTAAACCCTAAACCCAAAACCCAAAACCCTAAACCCTAAACCCTAAACCCTAAACCCTAAACCCTAAACCCTGAACCCTGAACCCTGAACCCTGAACCCTGAACCCTGAACCCTAAACCCTAAACCCTAAACCCTAAACCCTAAACTAAACCCTAAATTTAAGGTTTATGGGGTTTCAGAATGTGGGGCTCAGGGTTTACCAACCTATAGGCTCTGGGATCAAGGTTTCGGTTTAAAGCAAATGCCGGACCAGGAGCCTGCTTAGGGCTTAGGGTTTAGGGTTTAGGGCTTAGGGTTTAGGGATTAGGGTTTAGGGTTTCGGGTTTAGGGTTTAGGGTTTAGGGCATCTAAGGTTAGAACCATGGGCCCTGAGTATGGTTCCTTACCCTTGCGGACTTTAAAGCGATCTGAAGTATGGACCCTTATTATGTATAATGTATATATAAGGGTTGAGGGTTTAGGGTTTGGGGTTCGGTGTCTAGGGGGCCCATGCGTCGGATCACCTAGGGCAAGCTTTTGGATGTAGCGTTGGAAAGAGGCTGGGCACCCAGCTATGCTGAAGTACGGCATAGGGTAACCCCGCACCCCAAACCCTATGACCGACGCCCCCGAAGCGGTAAACCTGAACCCCAGACCCGAAATGCTCAAGGGCTTCGGGCTTAAGCATTTAGTTGGTGAATGGTCTGGTTCTTTGCCTGAACCCTCAGTCCCAAGCCCTTGGTCCTTTAATTTCTAGTTCAGGGTTTAGGGTGTAGGGTTTAGGGTTAACGTGATCCAAAGATTTTGTCATTCAGGGATAGTTGTGTTCCTGTGCTTAAGCTCTAAACCCTAAAGTCCCCAAACCAGTTAGGACCCTCTTAGCACCCTTAAGCCCTCAAGCCCCCCACCCTAAAGCATAGGCTCAAAACCCGTCCTGCTACCTAAACTAGTCCCCCCCTCCCCCTCCCCCCCTCCCCCTCCTCACTCCCCCCCTACCCCCCCCCCCCCCCCCCCCCCCCCCCCCCCCCTTCCCCCCCCCCCCCCGCCCCCCGCCTACCCCGCCCCCCCATCCCCTCGCCCCTCCCCCTCCCCTCCCCCCACTCCCCCCCTCCCCCTCCCTCCCCTGGATTTAGAATTGTGAGGTTAGGAAAAGTCCTGCAAACAATTGAGCTTAGCCTTAAACCCTAACAGGAATAGGTTGGGATGGTTTGCCGTCGGAGACGGCATGGGGTGGGGAAACCCAAAACCTTAAACCTTAATTGAACCCCAACCCTTAGGCTCAAAATAGCCCAAAAACCCTTTTTAAGGAGGCCTTTGGGCCAAAAAAACCTAAAATAAGAGGCCTTAGGGTAAACCCTAAACCCTAAACCCTAAACCCTAAACCCTAAACCCTAAACCCTAAACCCTAAACCCTAAACCCTAAACCCTAAACCCTAAACCCTAAACCCTAAACCCTAAACCCTAAAAACCCTAAACCCTAAACCCTAAACCCTAAACCCTAAACCCTAAACCCTAAACCCTAAACCCTAAACCCTAAACCCTAAACCCTAAACCCTAAACCCTAAACCCTTAACCTAAACCCTAAACCCTAAACCCTAAACCCTAAACCCTAAACCCTAAACCCTAAACCCTAAACCCTAAACCCTAAACCCTAAACCCTAAACCCTAAACCCTAAACCCTAAACCCTAAACCCTATAAACCCTCAACCAGGCCGGCGGCTTCAAGGCCTCCACCGCCGCTCCCTTGGAGGCCAGCGCCGAGGCGATGAGGCCGGAGCACTCCAAGAAAGCGCGCGAGACCCGACAGCCTAAAGCCCAGCATGAAGAGGGGTTAGGGGTTAGGGTTTAGGGTTTAGGGTTTAGGGTTAGGGTTTAGGGTTTAGGGTTTAGGGTTTAGGGTTTAGGGTTTAGGGTTTAGGGTTTAGGGTTTAGGGTTTAGGGTTTAGGGTTTAGGGTTTAGGGTTTAGGGTTTAGGGTTTAGGGTTTAGGGTTTAGGGTCGAACCTCAATTAAAGCCTCAGCACACCCTCAACAGCCCTCTCAGCTCTGGCGGTGGCTTGGTGGCAAGCTCTGCTGGAGCTGCACACCCCTGAGGGGTCGCCTAGCCCTAAACCCTAAATCCTGAACCCTGAACCCTAAACCCTAAACCCTAAACCCTAAACCCTAAACCCTAAACCCTAAACCCTAAACCCTAAACCCTAAACCCTAAACCCAACTTTTTTGGCCGAAGTGTCGATGAAGGAGGCCCTGGGGTGGCAGGAGGCCTATGGAGGGCCTTGGCGGCGAGCCCTTCGGACCGGAACACGCCGCCAGCAAAAACCGCCAACACCGCTTCCAGCCCAAAACGGTTAGGGTTTAGGGTTTAGGGTTTAATCAGGGTTTAGGGTTTAGGGTTTAGGGTTTAGAGTTGTTGCTTTGGGATGTTCCCCCTGATACTAACAGTCCTCATTGGGTATTATAGTACCCCTCCCCCTGTTATAATCCCTAATAACACCCTCAACCCTCAACCCTCAACCCTCAACCCTCAACCCCCAACCCTCAACCCTCAACCCTCAACCCCCAACACCCAACCCTCAACCCCCAACCCCCAACCCCCAACCCTCAACCCTAAACCCTAAACCCTAGACCCTAAACCCTAAACCCTGAACCCTGAACTGTTAGTATAAGGGGGAACATCCCAAGTCAATGCTCGGATGCGGTGCTGAACCCGGCCAACCCTTGGATGTCGGATCTCACCACAGTCACTGCACTTTGCACCTAGGGTTTAGGGTTTAGGGTTTAGGGCTTACGGCTTAGGGTTTAGGGTTTAGGGTTTAGGGTGCATTCCTCTTTCGCATTCTGGGCGTTGCAGCTGCAAGAGCCCGGCCTTCCGAAATCGCACGCGAGTTTGCACCGTAAACCCTAAACCCTAAACCCGTTCAAATGCCGTCCCGGCTGCAGGGACCCTTATCAGGAACCTGAAGGGGTTATTGAGGGGCTATATAAGGTATACCTGGGGGGTTGTATAGGGGGTTTAGGGTTTAGAGTTTAGAGTTTAGAGATTAAGGGTCCCCCCCTTAAGGCTTTCTTGCATGCGGTGACTTGCTTTGTCTTGAAAGTTTGAGAAAGCAAGCTTGGCAGAAAGGCCCTTCGACCTAGAATTCTCCCACAGAGACCTTAAATTTCATTTCCCGGAACATTCGCTACTCGGACAATTACGTTTCTTGACCCGAAAAACTTCTATGAAATGGTCCTTCGGCCTAGAATTCGCTTGGCTGGAACCTTACACTTGATTTTGGGGTTCAGGGTTTAGAGTTTTGGGTTTAGCGTAAATGTCCCCGCGTCCCCATGGGGACGATTTTAGACCCGAACATCTTCGACGAGAAAGGCCTTTGGTGTAGAACTCCCACCCATGGACACCTCATCTCCGATACGCTAAACCCTAAACCCTAAACCCTAAACCCTAAACCCTAAACCCTAAACCCTAAACCCTAAACCCTAAACCCTAAACCCTAAACCCTAAACCCTAAACCCTAAACCCTAAACCCTAGTCCGTAGACCCTAACCCTAAACCCTAAACCCTAAGCCCAACACCCTCCGAGACCCCAACCAAGCATTGCTCGCGTGCTTGGAGAGGTCGCGGATCGACGAGGCATTCCCGATCCCGACCGGGAGGGCTTCAGGGCTGGGGGTTGAGGGATTTAGGGGTTTAGGGGTTTAGGGGTTTAGGGGTTTAGGGGTTTAGGGGTTTAGGGGTTTAGGGGTTTAGGGGTTTAGGGGTTTAGGGGTATAGGGTTGAGGGTTGAGGGTTTAGGGGTTCAGGGGTTTAGGGGTTTAGGGGTTTAGGGGTTTAGGGGGTTAGGGGTTTAGGGGTTTAGGGGTTTAGGGGTTTAGGGGTTTAGGGGTTTAGGGGTTTAGGGGTTTAGGGTTGAGGGTTTAGGGTTTTAAGGGCTTTAAGGGCTTTAAGGGCTTTAAGGGTTTTAAGGCGTTTAAGGGTTTTAAGGGTTTTAAGGGTTTTAAGGGTTTTAAGGGTTTTAAGGGCTTTAAGGGCTTTAAGGGTTTTAAGGCTTTTAAGGGTTTTAATTGTTTTAAGGGTTTTAAGGGTTTAGCGGTCTATAGGGGGTGTTGGGTCTGGGAGATTAGTTAGATCGGTTTGAGGTGTTTCGTCGGCGTTTTTCCCGAATTTTTTCCCGAAATTCTAGCCCTAAACCCTAAACCCTGAACCCTGAACCCTGAACCCTGAACCCTGAACCCTAAACCCTGTTCAGTGGTGTTCTGGGCCTGAAGGCTATTACACACTTAGGGTCGGCTCGGTTTAGGGTTGGGGTTTAGGGTTTAGGGTTTAGGATTTAGGGTTTAGGGTTTAGGGTTCAGGGTTTAGGGTTTAGGGTTTAGGGTTTAGGGTTAGGGGAACCCTAAACTCTAAGCCCTGAAGCTTCGTGGTGTGGAGTGAACTGCAGGCCCCCCACAACCCTTGTTCTACTAACCCTGATACCCTAAACCCTCAACCCTCAACCCTCAACCCTAAACCCTAAACCCTAAACCCTAAACCCTAAACCCGAGCCCTAAACCCTATGTTAGCCCATGTTGTCCCTATAAGCCTCATTAAGCCCTAAACCCCAAACCTAAAACCCAAAAACTCCAAAGCCCTGAAATTCCTAAACCTTAAAACCAGATCCTAAAAACCCAACCCCTAGCAACCCTAAAACAACCTTAACAGCCCTAAACCCCCTATCCACAACCTTTACAGCAATAAAGCCCTTAAGAAAACACCTTCAAAAACCCGAAAACCCCTACACACAACCTTAAAAGCCCTGAACCCCCAAACAAAATCCTTGAAAACCTTAAAGCCTCTAACAACAACCTTAAAAGCCCTAAAACCCTAAACTAAACTCTACCCGACAACCCTAGATCCTAAAATCACTTAAAAAGCTTGAAACCCCTAAAACCCCTAAAACCCCTAAAACCCCTAAAACCCCTAAAACCCCTAAAACCCCTAAAACCCCTAAAACCCCTAAAACCCCTAAAACCCTTAAAACCCTAAACCCTAAACCCTAAACCCTAAACCCGACAGCCCAGGCCCCGGATAAGGCCTCCACGAGCCTGGAGCAGTGGCCTGCCTTTGGTTTAGGGTTTAGGGTTTAGGGTTTAGGGTTTAGGGTTTAGGGTTTAGGGTTTAGGGTTTAGGGTTTAGGGTTTAGGGTTTAGGGTTTAGGGTTTAGGGTTTAGGGTTTAGGGTTTAGGGTTTAGGGGACAGGGTTTAGGGTTTAGGGTTTAGGGTTTAGGGTTTAGGGGTCGGGGTTAGGGGTTTAAGGTTTACGGTTTACGGTTTAGGGTTTAGGGGTTTAGGGGTTTAGGGGTTTAGGGGTTTAGGGGTTTAGGGGTTTAGGGGTTTAGGGGTTTCGGGGTTTAGGGGTTTAGGGGTTTAGGGGTTTAGGGGTTTAGGGGTTTAGGGGTTTAGGGTTTAGGGGTTTAGGGGTTTGTTTAGGGGTTTAATTAGGGGTTTAGGGGTTTAGGGGTTTAGGGTTTAGGGTTGACGGTTTAGGGTTTTGGGTTTAGGGGTTGGTGTTTGGGGTTTAGGCCCCGCCCCCGCCCCCCCTCCCCGGCCCCGCCACCCCGCCACTTCGGCCAAAAAAGTTGGGTTTAGGGTTTAGGGGTTTGGGGTTTAGGGTGTAGGGTTTGCAGTTTAGGGCTTAGGGTTTAGGTTCCCCAAAGCCTAGACGCTGAAAGGGGTCTTACTACGTAGGCCTGTACCTTCCCTCATTGGGTTCAATTCTTTTTCAGAGGGCGTTGGGGGCCATCCTCGTTTAGGGTTTAGGCTTTGTTGATGCAGGGTTTGTGGGGCATGTTTCGGGTTCATTTAGGGTTTAGGTTCTTGAGTTAGGGCTTAAAACTTGTAATCTTTGTATAGGGCCGAAGGATCAGAGCTTCCCTTTTTTTCACATGGGCTTCGGGTTCTTTAGGGTACAGTCTCAGAAGCACAAGCTTGGGTCACTCTTTGTTCTTTAGGGTTCTGGGTCTAGGGTCCCTAAACCCGAAACCCTTAGCACGAAACCCTTCCGAAGCCATTTTGTCTGAAGCAATGAAAGGAGATCCCTGCCAATTCCTGCCAGCCGTCAGCCAATCCTCCTCACAGCAAGATGCCATTGTTGCAACTGACGAACTTGCTTGACAAGCTGCGGGCACAGGAGGCAGCGGCTAAACACGGAGGGCGACCCCACCGCCCAAGGGGCCAAACGCTGGGGGCTTTCTGCAAGCCCCACTGCAGGGAGATTGACTCCCTGCTCTGCGAGTCCAGGACGCCAACGACTGGCCTCCCAGTTGTCCATAAGGCTGGATGGCGGGAATCTGGCGCATGTATGCGTACGGCTGCCCGTGGGCTTTTTGCTGCCAGTGGACATTTCGTCTGCTCGGCAATGATTTTGTATTTTCCCCGTTCATTCGTGCTCCAATTAAAATCGTGTGTCACTCACTGCGTTTACTCCTTACATTTTAATTGTAATCACTCACTCACTTTATTATACTACGAAGAGAGTAACAATAATTAAGGGGCAAAGAAGAGAACGAAATGAGCGAATGCGCGCCCGTATTATTAGTACGAACGAAGTACAGCATTTAATAGTAAATTGTAGGGCTAGAAAAATAGTAATATTTTATGAGGCCCTTTTGTACGTATTATTTGGTATCTTGGAAATCTAAACATTTAGATCTTACATCAGATTCATTTTGTTTTCTTATTAATAGTCCTTGGTTATTATTCTTTGCTCTTATTATAATTCTATTTATCTTTACGGGATTGAATATTTATTGTTGGACTGGAGTTCACTTCTCATAGAATTATTTTCTTATATTTTGTCATCTGCTATTTGGATTAATTTATAGTTTTCATATTTGGTCTAAAGATTTATTAAGAGAATTCACTAAAAAATATGAAGTCTTATTGATATGTTTTCTTCTTTTTGCGGGGTTTTCTAGTTTCTGAAGCTCTATTGTTTGTATCCTTCTTTTGGACATTTCATTGTTTATCTTGTCCAACTTTAGGGATGTGGCCTGGAGAAGCTTGCTATCTTCCAGATCCTGTTGAATTAACTTTTGCGAATACACTTCTTTTTTCTAATGCTGCTATATCTTTAGGAAATGCTTTTATTAATTTTAAAAGTTCATCACAATAATTATTTTCTTCACTTTGAGGTCATTCTATTTATCTTCTCTTTTTATTAGTTTGCAGATCAAAGAATTTCGTATCCTCGCGTATTCAATTAATGATTCACTTTATAGTTGTCTTTTCTTTTTCCTTACAGCATTACATTCTGTACCTTCAGGCCGCTGCGGTTGATGTCTCCATCGCTTCATCCCCGGCCCGCGGACAGAGTCGTCCAGATGATGGAGGAGCTCACCTCGATGCACCACCAACTGGTTCTGGACGACAACTTCCGCAAAGTGGTCCTGGCACGCGTCGCCCAAAAAAGCAAGAAGGCCAAGGCTGTGAAGAAGGTGGTGGATGTGACCCGGCGTCCTGGAAGCGTCTGCTCCAACACGATGCCGAGCAGATGACCAGCGGTGCCAGCAACCTGGCGTGGAGCTGGGGGTACCTCGACAACCGGGCCTGGACCGAGCAGAACCTGCCCCGAGTCGCGCTACGCTCGTCAGGTTCCGGGGCGGAGTGGCGTGTGCAGCGGCAGGGCCATGGCCAGCAGTGGAGGCCGCAGCGCAGGCAGGGCAGGGCCGGTGGCCGGCGGTGAAGGCCGCGGCGCAGGCAGGGGCGCCGAGGCGACAGGGCGGGTGGTGAGCGGTGAAGGCGTGTGGGGCCCGCAAACCTTGAAGCTTACCTTTGCTCAGCGGAATATTGGAATTTTTTGGCCCAGAAAATATGCTTTGTCTGACAAGTAGGTTTTGAAGGCTTGGCCGAGAAGTGGAAATATCTTGTTGATCTTTGTATTTATTTTCACTCCGCAGCTTTTTACTTCCCCTGCGTGCAGCCAAGAGCTGTGCCGCGCCGACTGTTGTTTTGTCGTCGTGGATACCACTGATTAAGCTACTGCGTAGACAGCAGGACGACTTCCACCTATCTAGCTGCTGGTGCGAATGATTGACGTCGCATTTGTTCAGCTTCTGGGTATTGAAAGTACCCACACAAGAACACATCATGCGGTCACGCTTATTTTCGCACAAGAATATAAGTTATAAAGCTGGCTTCACCATGGCGCGGCAGCAAGATTTTAATGCATAATGTGAAGCGCTCGCCTGATCGAAGACGAAGGCCTCATGACATGAGAAAACCAGGACGTGGAGCGCAAAATCAAGGAACAGTTTGACCCACGCATCTGTTTAAGAGCATACTAGCCCAACAAAATGCTAAGGCCAAGATGGAAGCTGAGAAGTCTAGAGCTCATGAACGCGAAATGGAAACATCTTTTTGCGAGTATAGATTGCGACCCCGCCCGGCTTGGGTCCGGTGGAGGCCTGGCTGCTGAACCCCGCCGCAGTCCGGCATCAGAGATCTGCAAATGACTCTAGTGGACATATTAGGGCTAGAATCACGGGCGACATGCATCCGAGGTTCAAGTATGCCATGTGGACAGACAAGGAGCAACTGGTGGACGCCAATAAGCACCAGGTGCCTTTTTAAGCCCCTCTAAGCCCTAAACCCTAAACCCCAAACCCCAAACCTCAAACCCTAAACCCAAGACCCTCCCACTTCCCTGCGGGTTGTTGCAGGGTTCTTAAGGAGGCAGGGTTTAGGGTTGGGGGCTTGGGGAGTAAGGTTTGTATGTGTGGTTTTTGGTGGGTGTAGATATTTTTTCTTAGAAGGTTGGGGGTTCCAGCAATGGGAGTGGGGTTCACGGCTTTAGGGTTCAGTGGTTTCATTTTGTAATACTCTAGTGTATGTGGGGTTTGGTCAAAAAGGGCGGTAAAGGAAGCAAGATAGAAGTGGCCATTATTATGTTCGGATCAGGTTTTGTCCTCTTCGTTATGAGGCGGGGCCCGAGTGTGTGCACATGAAGCCCCAATGTGGCGCTAGATTAGCCATAGCCTCGTGCTAGCAAAGTACATAAGTATGTACGAAGTCTGTCGTGTCATGGCTACGCGCTAGTGGTTAGTTGACAACTTTCGCTTTTGCCAAGGATGCCCGCTAGCCTTGTGCATGCAGACATTGGGCTTGTTGAGGCTTTAGCTTGTTTAGACGTGGGGTGCAGTCGCGGAAGAGCTCCTGAGCTTAAGGCTTACGGGTTGCAAGGGCATTGCTTCTGATACCCGACGTGCCAGCCTACCCAAACCCAAACCGTAAATCCTTCATCCTTCGTCCGCTATTGCGTCTCTCTGCAGCATCGTTCAGTGGAGTAAGTCCCCGCCAGTGGCTTTTCCTGAGGTTTCTTTACATGTCAGGCTCGTCTGTTGCGATCAAGCTGGGCATGCGCCCGAATGAACACAGATTAACGGCCACCTTCAGGCAAAGACATTTAGACAAAACCCCACATGTGTATGTCTATATACATGCATGTGCAATCCAGTTGCCCCCAGCAGGTGCAGTCTGGGGGCCGCGTTTATGTCTCCATCATCATGTTTGCCGGCGTGGTGATCGGAACCGTGTGGCTCTCAGGGGGCGGCTGAAGCAGCCCTGAACACCTTAAACCTTAAACCCTAAACCCTAAACCCTAAACCCTAAACCCTAAACCCTAAACCCTAAACCCTAAACCCTAAACCCTAAACCCTCAGCCCTAGACCCTCATCCCTTGCCCCTGAATCCTGAACCCTGGTGCTGATTCGAGCTTCGGGCTTGGGGGGGGGGGGGGGGGGGACGGCTTCTGAATTCTGTGGTTGTCGAGGTCTTATGTTATCAAGGGTAGTGCTGAACATAGGTTTCTATTTTTTGCCCTTAGTCCCCTATCTCATCGATATAAGACCATGAACGTTTCATTTTTATAGGGCCCCCAAACCTACCCCAGGTATGGGTGCCAGAGTTTTCGGGTGTGTCGCGTAGGCCAAACCCCTCACAAACAAACAGCATCCCCAACCTCGCACCTAGACGAGTTGCCGGAATTTTCCTAAACCCTAACTAAACCCTAAACCCGAAACCCCAAACCCTAAACCCAAAAAAGAACCATTGCCCCAGATCTCCTCGCCACCCGAGATCTCCTCGCTGGCGAAGATGGCCCCTCCAGCAGCCAGGAAGGTGGACTAGTGAGGCCGCCTTGGCTTTGGGAGAAAAAGGCCCAAAACCCTAAATCTTCTTACTCGTGTGGGAAACCTTTCACCTTTCTGGGGAAGAGGGTTTAGGGTTCAGGGTTTAGGGTTTTTGGGTTTTAGGGTTCAGGGTTTAGGGTGTAGGGTTTAGGGCCTGGGGTTTGCAAGTTTTAGGTTTTCACTCGAAGCCCCATAGTCCATGCAGCGGTCAGGGGTTGAGACGCGTTGTGTTTCGGAAAGTTTGATTGTCGGATAGGAGAGTCCTTAAACCTAAGCACCCACTTGAACCCTAACATTAAACCCTAAACCCTGAAGTCCTAAACCCCAAAGCCCAATTCGAAACTTAATCCAGAGGGCAGTGTCCAGTAGGGCGTCCGTGTACCAGGTTTTTAGGTTGGTCTAGTTGGGGGTTTAGAGGTTCAGGGGTTTTAGGGGTTTAGGAGTGCAGCGTTTAGGGGTTTAGAGGCTTAGGGTTTTGGGCAGGTGTAGGTGTTTAGAGGCGAAGGGGTTCAGGTTTGCAGGGGTTTCCGGGGTTTAGGGCATAGTCTTCCCGATGCGAAGCGGCATGGCCCACTGCCTGAATGACCCCCAGACGTTTTACCTTCCAACCGTACCACCCGCGGCGGCAGTGCTTGGAAGAAAAGAGCGCTACATGTTTCTAAACCCTAAACACTACGCCCTAAACCCTAAACCCTAAACCTTATAAACCCTAGAACTCAGGGTACCCTTTGCGGTGTCTCTTTGGGGGTTTTGGGCCCGTTTACTCCTTTGCACCCCTGTTGGGCTTCCTTTGGCCCCCCGCCCTTTTGGGCCCCCTTTGCCCTTTGGGCCCTTTTCGGGTTTAGGGTTCAGGGTTTAGGCTTTAGGCTTTAGGGTTTAGGGTTTCCAAGCCTGCGCGCGGGAGGGCAGCGCCAGGGCTCTTAGTTGAGTTCGGGTTGACTGGAGGAGTGAAGAAGGTCAACATGGGGTTCAGCGTTTAGGGTTACAATGTTTTTGACGCCGCAAATAGGGTTCTGAAGACAGTTCGCTAGCTTATACGGGGGTTTACGAAAAAAGGGGCCCCTAATCTAAACCCCCAAAAATAGTAGAACTCCCTGATCAGAAGGACCCCAATAAGGTACCCCGAATTTCGTACACCCCGGCATGAGCATCGGACTACGCTATTGGCTATTGTAGATCCCGTCTGGTCTTCATGCTCCGGGCCTTCCGGGTTTAGGGTTTAGGGTTTTGGGTTTAGGGTTTTGGGTGGTTTTAGTACAAAGCCAAAGGGGCCCACCCAGGAGTAATAAAGGGGGTCGGAATAGTATAGTATTCCCTTATGGCTCCTTGATGGTTATTTTGTCAGCTGCTCACATGTCTACTAACCCTAAACCCTAAACCCTAAACCCTAAACCCTAAACCCTAAACCCTGAACCCTGAACCCTAAACCCTAAACCCGAAACCCTAAACCCCAAACCCTAAACCCAAAAACCCGCAACTAAATCGAAACACTGGCACCTCCAAGCCTGTGCAATTTAGCAGCATCTACCTCGAAATGAAAAACTGCAGTTAAACCCTAAACCCTAAACCCTAAACCCTAAACCCTAAACCCTAAACCCTAAACCCTAAACCCTAAACCCTAAACCCTAAACCCTAAACCCTAAACCCTCTGCTCTCCAGCCGGAGAATTCGAAGCCCTAAATCCTTGGATGAAACCCTCAACCCCAAAACCTACAGCGCTCAACAGCCCGAGGCCCTCAAGCAAACCCTAGGTCGCGTGACATCCGTACCTCTTGCCTCCTTCAAGTATGAAGTGTTGTCCCAAGCAGTCCAAGCCCTCAATCAACAGAACACCCAAACCCCAAGGCCCTTGGCCCCAAACCTCCTATCAAGATCTTTAGAGTTTTGTGTTTAGGGTTTGGGGTGCCCTAAGCCCCCAAACCCCCAGCCCTCAGACCTCTTCAGCATATTGGATGTGGTTACTTTGACTACTAAAGGTCCGTGTAACCTGTACTTCGTGAATACTCCTGGTTCCATTACTATTGCTGTGACTGTGCGATAACCCTTACCCTTACCATCATCATTGTTATCGCTTTTGCTTTCATTATTGTCATCGCGATGCTAGTCGTTACAATGGTTATTGATAGTTTTCATTTATTGCTTGCAATTTGCCTTTGCATTTCGTGATCACCGCCATTGTCATGATTGCTCTCATTCCTACTTCTTGTTCTTGTTTATGCAAATGTTAGTGTTATTGTTGTGCTTGTTTGTGTTGTTGCGATTGTTATCGGTGTTGTTATTGCGATTGTCATTGTTATTGTTTTGTTCTTGTTATCTGTTATCATTATTATGTTCTGTTGCTAGTGCGCTTTTGGTATTACAATTTTCTTTTTGGCTATGCTTATTGTTGTCTTTGTTCTTGCTGTTGTCCTGTTGCTAAAGTTACTGTTGATAAACCCTAAACCCTAAACCCTAAACCCTAAACCCTAAACCCTATACCCTAAACCCTAAACCCTAAACCCTAAACCCTACACCCTAAACCCTAAACCCTAAAACCCCAAAACCCCTTGTGACGACCGCCATCGTCATCTCCCGGTTCGTGCGCGCAAGCCCCGAGGTTTGGATCGGTCTCGCCTGGCAAGCGGGTGCCGCAAACCCTCGAGTTGCTCAACACCACGCCGGCGCGGACGGGACGGGGGGGGAGGGGGGGGTTTGGGGTTTAGGGTTTTTTCGGGTTTCTGGCGAAGGGGTTAAGCTTTTGGGGAGGGGGTTGGAGGGGGTTGAGGGGGGGGGGATGATGATGATTTAGGGCTTAGGGTTTGGGGGGGGGGGGGGGGGGTGATGATGAATATTTTAGGGTCAAGGGTTTTGGGGTTTGGGGGTTTAGGAGTTTGGGGTTTGCGCCCTTGTAGTGTTAGGCTTCTTTTTCAAAACGTGCCTCTTTAAAGAGGAGCGGATGGTGATCCTTTATGTTTTTCCGAGGCGACAGGGATCATTGGGGAACCCTGATGTACCCTTCACATACCATGTCGAACCCATGGGCCCATACAGCTGAACCCATTAAAGAAGATAAGGGCCCTTACTGAGGGACCATGTCACTTCCCTTAGGCCCCAAAAGGCCCTAAACTCTAAACCCCAAAACCTAAGGGGCTATATAGGGGGAACTTTTTTGGGGTCCCTTCTAGGCATCCCTCATTTTCTCCCTTACAGGTGGTTCGCAAGCAGCCCTGACCCTACACCCTTATTCCTGAACCCGAAGCCCTAAACCCTAGACCTCCGCCGCCCGCCTCCTTCCGCTGCCTCCAGAGCCAGGTGCGGGCGGTGTTCAGAGTACGGGCGATGCTCGATTCTTCTGAGGCTCTGTAGGGTTTAGGGTTTAGGGTTTAGGTTTAGGGTTTAGGGTCCAGGGCTGTGGTTTCAGGGTTTAGGTTTAGGGTTTAGGGAAGCATGTGGCCTTTCGCTCTGGGCTCTGAGACCAGAGAATGGGCTCCTGGAGTCCTTTTGGGGTTTAGGGTTTAGGGTTTAGGGTTAAGGGTTTAGGGCTTTAGGGTGTAGGGTTCAGGGTTTGGGGTTTAGGGTTTGGGGGGTTAAGGGTTTAATTTGGAAACCAAGCCCCAGCAGAACAGCCTGAGCGATCAAATCCTTAAAGAAACCCCCCAGCTTAGGGTTTCAGGGCCAGGCTGGGCAAAAAGTCTGAATCCCTTTTTAGGGTTTGGGACTTTAGGGTTGAGGGTTTGGGGTTTAGGGTTGAGGGTTCAGGGTTTAGGGCTTAGGGCCCTTCACTCCCCTCCCAACCCCTGCCAACCTTGAGGGACCTTCCGCTCTTAAGGACCCTAAACACAAAACCTGAAAGCAGCCCTAAACCCGCAACCCTAAACCCTGAACCCTAAACCTGAAACCATACCCCAGACCCCATGCCCTACACCCCGACCCCGAGCCTCCCTAAACTTTTTACACCCGAACTACACCTAAGCCGCTAAACCCAAACCCCAGCGCAGACCCTATACAACTCCAAACCCTAAACCTGATACCCTTAACCTTGTCTATTACTTGCTTAAAAAGCCTTCCAAATAAATTTGAAACATGTCTTCCTTACAAGGGCAATTTGGGATTCGCATCTTTTAGTTTTTGGCGTTCTTTAGCTAACCCCAAACCCCAAACCCCAAACCCCAAACCCCGAACCCCGAACCCCGAACCCCGAACCCCGAACCTCGAACCTCGAACCTCGAATCTCGAACCTCGAGAACCCCGAACCCCAAACCCCAGACACCGAACCCCGAACCCCAAACCCCAGACACCGAACCCCGAACCCCCAACCCCCAACCCCGGACCCCAAACCCCAAACCCCAAACCCCAAACCCCAAAAACCCCAAACCCCAAACCCCAAACCCCAAACCCCAAACCCCAAACCCTAAACCCTAAACCCTAAACCCTAAACTCTCAACCCTCAACCCTTAACCCGCAAGCTCCCCCAGCGCCCTGCCCAGACCGCTCCCTTGCCGCCCTCGGCCTTCTGGGTGAGCCCAGAGTCCGGAGTCGCCCGAGACCTGTTATTTTTTCTCAATATAAGGGTTTAGGGTTTAGTGTTTAGGGTTTAGGGTTTAGGGTTTAGGGGGTTTTCGAAATTAGGGGGTACCTTATTGGGCTCCTTACTATAAGGGAATCCTACTGGTTGGGGGACTCCACTAGGGGGTCCCTAACTTGCGTAACCCCCCCCCCCCATATGTTCGTTGGTTCCTTTTTTGTATATATACGTATATATATACACACACATATATGTGTAGATGTTGCATGTCCACACATCTATGAAAATATGTATACATATACCGTGAGATAGATAGATAGAGAGATATATATATATACACATATGCATGGGCATAATCTTTGCAGAGATCCATGGTTAATCCTTTTGTTAGACGAACTCTTTCAAGTTGTGTTTGGTGTTTTTTCGTTTGCTAAGACTCATTCTCCTTGTTCTTCTTGTTGCTGTTTTAGACCCCGCAGAGTATCCCTTCTTTC